TGCTTGCAACGATGACTTAAAAAAAGGTTTGTGATCCCCTTTCGAGACGTCTTAGGCTACCTACCTATCTATGGCGCCAGGTGAGGGGGACGAAAATGAACATTTTCAATCCTTCAAATGAAGGCATTTTTCGTATGGATCGCTGCATTCACTTTTGACACCTTGATGTAGCATGTCACACGGATTAACAGTAATGATCCGTTGCCGGCGACTTTTATGTATGCAATTCCTATTAGCGAACGCCCCCCCCCCTCCCACCTACGCCCTTCCCCTCCCGTCCGGGTACCCATCCCACACCCTTGCACGCCCACTCCCACCTCCATCCACCCTCTACCCCCCCTATCCATACCCCACCCCTGCCCGCCACCCTGCCAATCAGCCTTTGAACCCCGCGCGACGAGCCGACAACAGCGGGTTCATTATCCATTGTGCTGACCAGCTGATGCTTCCTCGGGGCGCTGCTTCGACGCCAGAAGGAGCTGTGTTGACTGCGCGCGGCCTCGGCCCCTGCTTGCAAGGGTCTGCTTGCGAGGAGGATTTCTCGAGGAGCGCTTCCGCCTTGGGCCTGGAGTCGAACGTGTGCGTGCGCGTGTGTTGAACTGTCCCTGTCTTTGTCGTGGCTGAGCCTGGTACTTTGTGTGGTTTCTACCTGGTAGTGAGCAGGTGAGAGCCACACCCGCCCCTCTCCCCCACCCTGTGCCCCTCCCCAACCCACCTCTCCGTTTTATTCGCAATCCACCCCCTACCCCTCCTCCCCGCCCCACCCAACGTAACCCGGAAGCTGGCTGTTCTCGCCCCCCCCCCCCCCCCGCCCTTACCCTCCACGCGACCATACCAATAATACTAAATGCAATTACAGCGACGGACACCCCTCCCCTCCCCCTCCTCCTCCCTCCCTACCCCCATAGGACGGCCCTTGATGTCCATCCGCAGACATCTAGCCGGTCTATTAATATCGATAAACATGAGCCTAGTCGTCTAGTAGCAGTTCCTAGCAGCGGAGGGAACTTATAGCAGAAGGTTGTTACGTCGCCTGGAGGCTTCCGAAGGCGCGGAGTCGGCGTTGGGTTCTCGGAGCGCGTGCGGTTTCTATTAATTTGTGATAGTTCTGTTTGATGAAGCCCCACGTTTAGAGCTGGCGGGCAGACGAAGCCTAGGTGAACAATACCCTGTTTTTGTTTTAGGCTTCAGGCGTGGCGTGGGTGAGGGGGGGGAGGGACGAAGGTGTAGAGCAGGGTGGGGGTGATGTGTGAGTGGGGAAGCAAGGCAGGCAGGACACGAGGTTGTGGTTGGAGGGTAGGGGATGGGAGAGTGAGTGGTAGTATTCTACCAAGCGGACATTTCTGTTCGGTTTTACTTCGGTTGACTAAGGAAAATATATTTTTATTTCTGTGTTGGCTGCATCGTTATTTCTATTCTTGGTTCTCTGCAAAGGGGTTGTCAGGGGAATGGTTCTTGTGGGAGAGAGGAGAGAGAGAGAGAGAGAGAGAGAGAAGAGAGAGAGAGAGAGAGAGAGAGAGAGAGAGAGAGAGAGAGAGAGAGAGAGAGAGAGAGAGAGAGAGAAGAGAGAGAGAGAGAGAGATGGGGGGGAGAGGAGAGAGAGGGGGGGGGAGTTTTCACCGCGATATTCCACCGCATTTTTGACGACGGTGTTTCCAATTTGCAAATTTAAGGCCAGAACCATCTCTCTCTTTTTATCTCCACAACTTCTCTGTCGTTCTTTCTGCATGTGAATGGTGAACGGCACTGGGTCGCGCTTACTACGATGAGTCACACGCCCAGGGAATTATGAGTAATGGAATGGGGAGGGAGAGGGAGGGAGAGAGGGGAAGGAAAGGAGAGAGAGAGAGAGAGGAGAGAGAGAGAGAGAGAGAGAGAGAGAGAGAGAGAGAGAGAGAGAGAGAGAGAGAGAGAGAGGAGGAGGGGGGGGGAAGCAGACGAGTCAGTCAGCTGATCTTGCAAATGGGGAATAAAGCTCGCGAGGAAGGCGGCGGAGGCATTCGTGTTTATTTGCCATTGTTCGCGGCGTCGCTGTCTTGGCCTTCTCAAAAGAGGCGCCGGGAAAAAGGTGACAGACGAGGCGCTGGGGGGGAGGAATTGTTGCAAAGGGGATGGTAAAAATGGGTGGAGAGAGTGCTTGCAGGAAGAGAGGAGAGTGGGAAGGGTGCTTTGGGGGGGGTAGAAAAGGGGATGGGGTGCCTGGGGAGGGAAGAGATAGGAAAGGATGGAGTGCTTGCGGGAAAGGGAAAGGGGAGGAGGGGTTGCAGGAAGAGGGGAAGAGCGTTTGTAAAGGAAAGGGAAGAGTGGGGGAAGAGTCGCTGGTGGGGGAGGGGGGAGAAGAGGAATGGGAAGTACATGGAAGGGAAAAGGAAGGGAAGACGGGAGAAATTTGGTGCATGGGGAAGGAGAACCGGCGATACAAACAAAATGCGTAATAGGGTTGAAGAACGCACAAACTCCAAGTATTACGTAGTCATTTGTTGAATCGTGGATTGTCCTGGGGGTCGCGGGCGGTGGGGGAGGAGAGGACAGGTAGTGGAGGGCCTGGGACGTGGTGGGGGGACATGGAACTCCCTTGAATAATTGAAGGCGCCCACGACACCTCTGTGGCGTGAGGATGGCAGGTGCCGCCTCCCGCGCGCTGTTTTGTTGTCCTGCGTGGTGTTTGTGTTTGTTTTAGGTGCAGTTGTTTGGTTGTTTGTTTGTATCCCTTTGCTAATTGTGTCGGTATGCTCTTGCCGCTTTTAATGAGCAAGTTCAGGCGGTCGTGAGAATGAATGTGTTTGGCCCTCCTGCTTTGTGAAGAAAGAGAGAGGCAGAGAGAAGTGAAGGAGGGGTAGAAAAGAGAAAACGGTTGAGGAGAGAGAGAGAGAGAGAGAGAGAGAGAGAGAGAGAGAGAGAGAGAGAGAGAGAGAGAGAGAGAGAGAGAGAGAGAGAGAGAGGGAGAGAGAGGGAGAGGGGGGGGGCAGGCAGAATATGTTTACGCAGAGGAGAGGACCTGTTCCCAGCAGCGTCACCGCCAGTTTTATGCCCCGTAAATGTCATGTTTGTTCCGCGTCCTGGAACTTGCCGTTGTTTCCCCCGCGATAAGGCCCTGGGTGAAAGCGAGCGAAGAAGGGAGGCGACGTAAGCGACATTCCGCTAAACTTTGGTAAATGATGCTTTGGTTGATTTAGGTGCTAGCCTGTCCCTTGATATGCTATATTTAAACATTCTAGTCTGTTTTTCTGTCTTCCTTTCCCTTTCCCATTATATTATATCACACACTCACATTTATACACATTATCAGCAAATACTACCAGGATAAGCCGAGAGAGACAAAAAAGCGTACATAGAGATAAGTTAACAGGAACCGTGGAGATAAGTCCGCATCTAATGGAGCGGAAGTCCTGTTCGCGGGAGCCTCTCGCGGGCCGCCAGAAGGTGCCAGCCGCGGCGGGTGCTGTGCGCTGCCAATAATCCTTAGCTTCCCCCACATCGGCTCTCCCTCCTTCCTTCCTTAAATGTTTATATGTTCGTGTTTTTTTTCACTTTTTTATAATTGACTCTTAGTATAAGGATAAGAGTGCAATTGCGTGCAATACGAAGGCGCCATGATAAAGTTTCCGTGCTTGATTCTGTGCGAGGTGCAGGAGGATGGGTTGAAGGAGGCAAGAGGAGGAGAGAGGAGGAGGGCTAGTCTGCCGAAGGAGGAGCTGGCTCGGTCCTGCCCGATCTTGCCCAGCCATCGCTCGGTATACAGGGATTGATTTGATTTTATTGTTTACTGCTTAATTACTCACCATTTTTTTTTTACAGAAATGTCATGCATAGTGATGTTTGTGTTTATTCATTGTAGGTGTGAGAGTGAATTGTGTATTAATTTTTCGTCTCCTTGCGTTGCAGATTGACTACCCGGACGTGCAGCTGATGCGTCCCGGCCAGCGGGCGTCGTGCAACACCATGAACTTGGAGAAATTGATGGCACTCGAGCAAGACGAGATTACCATCAGACCAGGGGGTCGTGGTGCCCTCCCCCTCCCCCCACCCATCACCACGCCCACCACCAGTACGAGAACGACCACGCCCACCACCACCATCACCCCCAGCACCACCACCACCACCACGACCCTTACCTGCCGGACCTCGTGGGCAGCGCCATCCTGCGAGGCGCCCGCAGCAGAGGCAGCGTCGGCTCGTCGGTCAGGGATGGCTCGGATACCTCCAGTGCCTACTCGGGATCCGACACCATGTGCCACTCGCTGCAGTCCTCGCTCGAGCCCGACGACGTCGACCTGTCAGGCCTCACCGAGAGCGCCGTCGACTCCGACGAGGAGGACTTGGCCGAGAGCATCGAGGTGAGTTGCCAGATTTGCACTTTCGCTTTGCTTTAGTTTTCTCCTCATATACCCTTTCCTACACGTGTCACGTTATCTCGCTTTGACAGGAAACTAGAGCGTTTACACTTTTAAACTAGAGCAAACGCTCTTGTCATAACGATTTTTCCCCGCCTTCGAACGTGTTTTTGCCATGTTGCGCTGTTCCAGAATCGTTATTCTATACGTATTTACACCACTTTTGTCCCCTGCTGCAGAGCCTGGCGGTGCGAGACGCGGTCCGGGAGTGCCTGGAGAAGGACCCGAGCGAACGGACCGAGGACGACATCGACGTCTTGCTCGAGTTCACACAGCGTCTGCGAGCCTTCTCCAACATGACCTTGGCCGTGAGAAGAGCTATGTGTCAAGCCATGGTACGTCGTTGTCGTGTTTGTGTTTTGCTTTCACCTTACCCTCTCTCAAGGAAAGTGGTGCCAGTTGGTACTAGAAGGACTCACGAGCGAGAGACATTTTGACTGTATTTTAATTTATATTGCTTTTATTTTTAGCTTCTTACTGATATTTATTTATTCCCTAATTTCTATCAAGCTCACACCTGTCTGCATTTTGTCATACTTTTTTCTCTGATTTGACTAATTATGTTATCTCGTTTCTGCATTTTCTTTTTTATTCTTGATGAAGGCTGAGGTGCCGCTGACAAGGTTATTGTATTTACAACGTTATTTTAGGTTTTGCTGTAGTAGAAGAGGCCGGCACAACCCTCATGAACCATGGGAAGAACTGGATTCATGGAGTGTCATCATCAATGGACATGTGGAGGTCACACAACCAGACGGTTCCGTGCATGAGCTTCACCTTGGAGACAGGTAATTATCAGTATTGTATTTGGAGTCAGATTCGTATACGAGTCTTACGAGCCAATTCTGAGAATGTTCATTCTCCAAAGCTTAAAGCTTCCAGGCCTCCAGATGGGTGCATGATGTCAGATTAGCTGGCTAGTTATAGGGAGGAGGACGGAATGACGAGATATTCCGTAGATGAGTTTTGCATGGCATGATTTCTCTTTGCAGTCTTCCCAAGAGACAAAATGTGATGACCAAAAACTCCTCCTCTTCCGCCAGCTTCGGCATCACGCCCACAATGGAGAAGCTCTACCACCAGGGGGTCATGCGCTCCAAGGTGGACGATTGCCAGTTCGTGTGCATCCGGCAGACAGACTACTACCGCATCTTGCACCAGGGGGAGGAGAACACACGACGCCACGAGGAGGACGGCGTTCTGGTCCTTGTGACAGAACAGAGGCCCATCGACGCAGGCAACAGAAGGGGAAATATTGTGATCAAGGTACTTTTTTTCTTTCTTTCTTTCTTTCTTTTTTGAGGGAGTTGTAGTTAATGTCAGATCAAGTGAAGAATTCTGAATTGCATATTATTAGATGTAATGCTATGTGGTACATAGATTTAGGTTTGACCCTAAAGGTGTGAATAAATCTAAACGTTTAAGATTTCATAAATCAAACTATTAAAGTAGATATAGAAAAATTAAGGATTACTGATTTGTTTGAATGGAGGATTTCTTTCTTTTCAGTTTAAAAGTGATAAAGAATTGCTTGCAAATCATTTGTAATATGATTAATAGTTATTAGTCTTTCAGGTAGAACAAGTAATCAGACCTTTATTCATTGATGATGGATAGAAATATAAGTGAATGCTTTAGATTTAAGAGAAATGATTGCCAGTTTTAAGAAACTGTACATATTTTACCAATATGTAGGTATTCAACAGATATGAATAAGAATGCAGTTAAAACACATTATACACTTTTTCCTTTTTTCTTCTATTGATGATAATAGTACTAGATTCCCTAATTAGAAGATACACATAAAAAACTGTAAGTAATCAAAAGTATCTTGCCAGGTCCCTCCAAATATCCCTTGAAAAAGGACCATAATGTCCCTATGCAAAGTCTGTGCAAAGTTTGACTGTGGAGTGTTTTGTGTCATGAACTATACCTGACCAAATCTTGTCCATAACCAGCCATTTCCCATCCCTCAGTAAGGAAGAGTGCACGGACACCAAGAGCTGTAGACCTTCCACTTGTGAGGTTGAAGCGTTCAATTTACCTCTTCAAGTGGATGTTTTTGATGGTCATTGTGCGATCACTTGGTTTGAGATTTTGAAATGAATGAGATTAAATGTAAAATGTAAAAATAGGAAGAGTATCTTTTCGGAATGTCAGAGTTAGTATTAATGTACCTCTAATAACTTAAGAATAGGAATATTTGATTAGAAATTAAAAGCTAACATCAAGCATACACTAGTTGTTACATAATGAAAGTTGACAAGACGAATTAAATCCATAAGTTATTTATAGGAAAGCCATTAAATATTCTATACTCATACAAATGAATGTAAGAATGACATGAAAAAAAAATCACTTATAACCTTTGATTTTAGAAAAATTAATATGGTTTACCATCAAGAATTAGGTGTTCCTTAGAATGCAAACTGAGCATACAATTATTTCCTCAGGGAACCGCAGAAAGGCTCATGTCCCAGCTGGTGGAGGTAGAGAACAATGTGGATCCAACCTATGTGGAGGACTTCTTACTCACACACAGAACCTTTATTGACAATCCACTCCAAGTGGCAAACAAATTATTAGAATGGTAATATATTTTGTATAAACTTTCAACTTTGATTAATGTCTATTTGAGAAAGTTGGCATACATGATTAGTAGTGATTATTAAGAAATGATGATTTGATTTCTGCAGTTCATTTTAACTAAAGTAATAGCATGTAAATTCTTTGTTGTACATTATTTAATGCTTGAGCAGGGTAGCTCATACTGAATGTAATTATACTCATTTGGAATGTCCCCAGTTGCAAAAAAAAAAATAAATAACATTTTCTCAATAGGTTTGAAGACCCTCTCTAAGAGACAGAGTGACACGAGTGGTGTTGCTCTGGGTAAACAACCACTTCACAGACTTTGAAATGGATCCAGTCATGATGAATTTCCTAGAGCAGTTTGAGGAAGGACTTGAAAGAGAGAAGATGGCAGGACAGCTCAGGCTGCTTGACTTTGCTTGTGCCACAAAGGCCAGGGCTAGGACTGTGACTCTCACACGGCCTTCCAGGATGAAATCCTCCACTTCTCTATCCTGGGAGGATATGAGCGAGGATTTGGAATCTTTATATCGAAGGTATGTAGAAGATATTGGACAGTGCCCACATTGGTTTTTGTATGGTGCAAATTAGCATGTAGTTTTGTTTTTAATTTGTATTTGATAATAGCCTTTGTTTGAATATTGAGTTACATAATCAGATCACATTTTAATGTACTGTTAGTGATAAGCCATTTACACATTGTATTGAGGATTTGACTGATAATGCTACTTTACCAAATAGGTGGAGAAAGGAAGCAAGGCTGAGGAGGTTGGCTTGAAGCGTGGAGATCAGATACTAGAAGTCAATGGCCAAAGCTTCGACCACATGAATCATGGGCGAGCCCTCGAGATTCTTCGTCAGACATGTCACCTGTCAATCACTGTTAAGAGTAACTTGTTAGGTAATTATTCCACTTGTTTTTAATATACTTTTTTTTTTTCTCACACAGCAGAAAAGTGGAATTGTATTTATCCTTTGAATGGAATAGAAATTGATAATCTTCCCTCACTGCAGCATTCAAGGAGATGCTCCAGACTCCTGACAATTCCCCAAGACAACGCCGAGAAAGCCATCTGACCCACGAGGCCTTAATGACGGCAACTTGCCCCTCAATCCCAACTTTGCATCCACCATGAATATCCCAAGTGACCACACTCAGCAGTCTCCCAGGGACAAGGGCAAGGACAACAATAACAAGACCTCCTTCATGACAATGAGCGGCACCAAAGCCAACAGATTCAGGAAGGTCAAGAATCTGCTGAAGCCAAAGACTAACACACAGTAAGTTCATAAAGGTGTTTAGGTTGTAACTTGTGTTATTTATGTGTAATATATATATATATCTAATTTTTTCTAATTTTATAGGTTTTCATAGTTCAATATTTTCATTATTACAATTAATATTATATATTTTTTTTTCATGATTATCTTTTTTTAGTTTTCCTAATTTTATTGGGATTACTGTGAATACAGTAGATATACTCTTAAGTCATTTTAGAATTGATAATTATAAAAAGTGTTCAATGCCATTGAAAGTGTTTTGGAAATGACAATGCATGAACTGTGTTGCAGAGAGTCACAAATAAACAGCGATGAAAGCGTGTCATCCCAATCAAGTGTGGGTGGTGGACTCTCCACAGTCACAGCAACCCAGATCTGAGCACGACTGGAGCCTATGAAGATGTCAGAACAGAGTTTCCGGAGCATGTATTGAAGGTAAGTATTTTAACCAGAGTTATCAAACTTTCCTCTTAACAGTTAAGAATTTCTTGAGTGTCATATATTCAGAATGATTAGTAATACTTGCTCTTGTTATCCTAGGTTTATCGAGCAACTGACCAAGCTGCGAGATTCCTACCAGTCCACAAGGAGACCACAGCTCGTGAGGTGGTGATGCTCGCTCTGCAGATCTTCAACATCAATGACCCTTCAGGTTCCTCCAACTATGCACTGTATGAAGTCTCAGTCACAGAAGAAGGCCTCACAAAGCAAAAGAGATTACCAGACTCGCTGCAAAACTTGGCAGAGAGAATAGGTATGGCATAAGTAATGAAATATTTTTCCTATTGCTTTGTCCATGAATATTTTTTAATAGATTGTTATTATTAACAGAAGAATTTGATGGATGTACTTATAAGGTTATTAATGTTATTTTGGTTTCATTTTTTTGTTTTCTATTTTAGGATTAAGTAGTCGATACTACTTGAAGAACATCACAGTGTCACAGACTTTGGTCCCAGATGAAAATGTGAATGAGCTGGTCAGGGAGTCTACAGTTTACTTCTTACAGCTTAACTCGGTTGAGTTGGCTATTCAGCTTACTCTTGAGGACTATACAATATTCAGGCAAATTGAACCTACTGAATATATTGATTATCTCTTCCACCTCAACTCCAGATATGGAACTCCGGCTCTGTCACAATTTGCTGAGGTATGCAAATTTGTGTATTGGAGATTATTTAAATTACATTTATATTTTTAGTGTTTTTTTTACAAATTATGGACAGTACTTGTATTTAGATATGAAAACAAATCCCAATAAGTCCACTCATGGGATATGGGTATAGTAATTGCCTTTTTTTTTTTTTACCAGGTTTTATATTTCTAATATTTTACCTTGAATGTGTTAACAGGCATTAATTCAAATTCTTCTTTAATTACAAATAATCTTTCTCCCTCTAGCTTGTAAATCGTGAAATGTTCTGGGTGGTCACAGAAGTCTGCTCAGAGCATAATCTAGTCAAGCGATCCAAAATCATCAAGCAGTTTATTAAAGTTGCCCGTAAGATCTACTGTCATTGGTCACAGAGCTGGGTAAAATGTTGAATAATGACATTGTTGCTTGGGATATTTTATTCATGTGCAGAATCAGAAAGTATATATCTAGATTAAAATTCCCTCTTTTCCTGACAGGACAATGTAAGGAATGTAAGAATTTCAACTCCATGTTTGCCATATTGTCTGGTCTGGGGCACGGAACAGTTTCAAGGCTAAAGCAGACCTGGGAGCGCTTGCCTTCCAAGTACCAGCGCATGTTCCATGACATGCAGGATCTCATGGATCCTTCTAGAAACATGAGCAAGTACCGCAACCTGGTCCAAAGCGAGAACATCCAGTCACCCATTGTAAGGACTAAGACCTTTGTTTTACTTTCCCTGGATGTTTTTATTTCTCTAGTTATAGTTTATTTATTACTCCTACTACATTTTTTGGATTTGACAAGTAGTTTTTTTTCAAGTGATTTTTGTATTTCTAAATTTCAATAATAATTGTTAGTTCTCAAAAGTCTGCTTGTGTCTTTTTCACAGATTCCATTCTATCCAGTGGTTGCCCGCGACTTGACATTCACTCATGAGGGTAATGATGACAAGGTTGAAGGACTCATCAACTTTGAGAAGCTCCGCATGATTTCACGTTACATCCGTGACCTCCAGAACATGTGCTCAGCCCCTTACGTAAGTCGCACAAATGTGTAAATAGTGTAATTTAGTTGATATCAAACATTATATTTTTTGGCAATATAATTTTGAATAAGCATGAAATAATATATATCTTTACTGGTTTATGGCCATCTGATAAGTGACATTCTTATTATTCATGTATTTTTGTTTCAGGATCTGTTCAACATGCAGGATGCTGGAGGTCAACCCCCAAGTGCTGCACTCATAACACTCAACCAAATGGGAGCTCAGATTGCAACAGTGAAGAGAAGGAAGAAGTCCACTGCTGCACCTGATAAGAAAAAGATGTATGAAGAGGTAGGTTCCCTTTTTTCTCCTAGTGTGTGTACGGTATGTTTGTTTATTCTCAGCTTGTACTGAAACTTTATAAGGTAAATGAAAATGAATGCATTAATGTTAATTATTATTTTTTGTTCTCATAACAGGCTCAAATGGTCCGGAGGGTGAAAGCATACTTGTCTCGGTTGCAAGTGATTACAGACGAGGAGCAGCTTCGCAACATGTCCTTGGAGTGTGAAGCAGGTCCGGAGGGGCATAAACCTGCAGGAGGGCACAGCAACAGTAGCAGCAGTGGGTCCAGTAGCGCCCCACCCACCAACCCTCCTCCAAGACGGCGCCCCACTCACCAACACCTTCCACAACTTCATCAACTTCATCAACGTCACAAACCTCGGATGGGAAGAAGCACACTGCGAAATTCGGTAAATGGCTTGTCTCTCATTCATTCCCTTGTTTTCTCTATTTTTTTTCTTTATGTTCATTTTCATTTTATTTTATTAACTTATCATTATTAATACATTGATTATACTAAGGTGTCTAATAAAAAATCATGCTTAGCTTCTGGCTTAAATGATACTAAATTGAATTTTAATTTTTACATGATTGCTTAACACTTTCTAGCTGTCCATTTTGTTGCTTACTTTTCTTTGAGCACCTCTCCCCATATTGCAGGAGCCACATCTCCCCAGTCCATAAGCAAGATGAAGGCCCTGGCCGAGCCCAAGACGAAGCCTCATCACGGCCCACGCTCCACCACCACCCACCATTCACTCTCCCCTTCCCCCTCCCCTGGCCCTCCTCGTAGGGGAGCCATCAACAACCATACCTCTCGCTCTACCCATGAGCGGTCCCACTCTGACACCCATGCTGTTCCTGTGGACCTTAGCGCAGAGTCTTCCTCTGTTACCTCCCTGTCCAAACTCCACAAATCCCACACCTCAGGTATGCTGCTAGAACCAGCACCCTCCCTTTATGGCACTCAACATAACAGCACCACTACACCTGCATCTGTTTCTTTCTCCCTTTCTTTTGTGCATGCTGCTGCCTGTTCTGCTCTCATAGCATCTGTCCGTAAATTCTCTACCACCAGCAATAACATCCTTGGAACCAAACCCTCTTCCAGGTCCTCAACGCCCATTACCATCAACCCCCTTCGAATTAAGCATATTCAAAGGGAAAAAAAAAAGGCTGCATTCAAATCCCAAAAATTCAGTACCAGTTTTGATAGCAGTTACAGCTCATACAAAACAGAAAGTCCAAGGAATCCAACTTCATTTGGAGCCAGTGCAAGTCTCAGTCCAGCACCTGTAACTACTAGAATGAAATTAAAGTCAATGCAAAGAGACAATACATTTTCTAGGAGCTTACCAACACCTGCTCACAGCCCCAAAAGAGTGGATGCCTACTCCTTCTCCAAGGATGCTTCCAAGTGTCAGACATCCACTCCCAAAAAAGGAACTCCTGTCAGGGGAAGTCAGAGAGGGACTGTTGGTCTACGCAAGTACGGAGAGTCTTTCTCATACAGTGTGTCTACAAAAGATGAGAAGCAGGAAGTTGCTTTAGCACCTATAAATAAAGCAACATCATTCAATAAAAATAAAATTACCCATACAGAAAATCTTTCATCAACACAGAAAGACATCTTAGATTTGAGTGAGACTGCTGTAGTTAACCATGATTCAGTAAGCAAGGCCTCTGTTTTATCTCCTAGTAAAATTGGGCATCTGCAGAAGCAGAAACAGGGGAACTGTAGTAGTATTACAATCTTTCAGAAAATTTTTAGAAGTAAAAGTGAAGATATACTAGATGCCAAGAAAAGTCCAGCAAAAAAGACTAATACCAAGAAAAATATTGTGGATGAGGTATTAACTTCTCCATTACTTAGTCCACTGATTTTTAGAAGAAGTCGGAGTGAAGATTTTCTTAATAAGGTTATTGATAGACCAGAAGTTAAGAAGTATTCTGTCAAGGATTCGAAATGTTTAAATACTAAAGAAATAACATCGGGAAAAGTGAAAAGGCCCAGAATTTCTAAACCACTCAGAACATTTTTACCAACAGATCCACCTTCAATTGGTGAGACTCTGAAAAATAAAATAAAAATGAGCAAAATTCACAGTTTTAATGAAGATGATGCATGTGTGCCATCACGTTTCTTTTTAGAGAAGAGCTTGTCTGATGAGTCAGGGAAAGAAACTACAGAGAAGCGTTACCCAACTTTACAAAGACCGGCAAGTAATAAAGAGACATATTTCCCAGCATCAGTGAAATCCAGTAAACATTTAAGAAGGAATGAACCCATGAGAGTTTACAGGGTCAATCAACCAAAAGATGTACGTGATAATTCTTTGATTGAAAACTGTGACATTCACTATACGCAAAGAGGAACCAAAGAAGATACTGAACAAACTAATGTGAAAAGCATTGATCCTAACAAAGGTTTCAATCCGCATATTCCTCATCCATCCATACATTCACAGACCTTCTCAAAAAAGTCGCCTTGGTTTGAGAAATTCCAAAAGTCGAGAGTGGAGGTACTAAAACGAAAAGAAGAGGGAAATGAAAATGATGAGTTAAATGATTCCTTTGGATCTTCAGTTCATAGTAGCGGCTCTGATGACTCGATTCATGAAGGTTACCCAAAGCCTTTGGAAATGTCACAGAAGTCAGTTCTAAATACAACATACCCACAATCCAAGTATGTTCTTACTCGCTACAGAGGCCAACCTGATGTCCGAAGAAGAGTTGCAGAAAAGCTCAATGCTGTTATTCGGGAACTGGAAGAAGAAATGCGTATGATTCATCCAGGCCCAACTTATCCTTCAGATGAAGAAATCTTTATTGGAACGATCCCATTACAAATCCATATAGTACTTTGCCATTGCCTACAGATACAGGGATTCACAGACCCACTAGCCTCCCTCTTCGTAAATATGCTGTCCATAGGAGAAACAGCGCACCTATGCTGTCTCCAATAGAAGAAGTTAAAGTGTCTCCAACATCTGCAGATCTCGAGAGTATGACAATATTGCAGAGATCTTTAGCCAAATGTTCATCATTTAATGGTGATAAGCTAAGAAGAAATAATATCCCATCTTATCCCCAAACTAAAGGCAATCCAAAAGGAATGAAACTTGAGATAGAAGAACCTCGTCTAAGTCAGAAAGGCTCCTTTAAGGCACAGGATCCAAAGCACCAAGACAGGTCAGCTTTGATTCTGCCTCCAAGTGAAACACAACCTAGCAGTCTCGTTAACCCAGACCCAACTTCCTATTGCAATCAGTATGGGTCCGAAAATGATGTGGACTATGTTTGATATTAATCCTGTTCCTACATGAAAGAGTGCATCTACAGTGGTCTAATATTATTACTACTGTCATCATATGTAGCAAAGAAAAAGAAAATAAAGAAACCCAGCTCTCCTTTTCCCCTTCTTTGTCTTTGTATTTTCACTGTCTTAGTTTACAATCCTTAAACTCTCTTGCATGGACCCTCTATGGAGAACTTCAGTGTCTGCATGAGCTCTCCACTGTCCTATGTTCACTGATATGGGTAAATGTTCCTGATTTTACAAAGTACTTTTCCTCCTTTATAGCTTTTCTTTCTTCATAACATTTACATGTTTATATATTTTGTTTATCTGGTTGTTTTAGTTTATAGGTAAGAGGGATGAAACCTCATAATTTTTGTATTATTGTTTTAAAATAATTTCCATGATAGGTAAGGTGCATCAAGAGTGAATATTTCTAATTGTGTAAAATGTATCTGAATTTCCTTATATTATTGCAAATTTCAGTATTCTAATTTTCTGAATTGGAAGGAGAGAAAATTCTTCCTGTTCAGCCATATGATGTAAATAGAAGGACAGTTGAAGGGAAGCTGTTACAGGAAGTCATTCTTCACATTTTAGATATTGCACCCATCTACCATAACCAAATATCTATAGATTTTCCTCTTTTATTAACATCAGGCTCAGTGACATCAACCGACTGTCAGGTGGGACCTGGGGAGTCTGATTCTGGCATCTCTACCCATTTTGACTGTCACTCCTCCTCCTCGCTGGAAGTTGGGGGAGTTTCCGGATACGAGTGTCACTATCACTCCTCACCTCCAGCCCACCACCGACGCTACTCACATCAACCAGGTTTGTGAAGGTTTTTGGAGTGTGTGTTGGCAAAGTACTGCTTGGCAATGCATCAGCAGTCACTTGTGTGTGGAAATGAATGTTCAATGGAGGTATTGATAGTAAAGTGAGAATTGATTTCACCTTAAACAGGGCGGATAATAGTTCCCACAGCACTGGTTAGCACTCGGGTAAACTGTGTCGGTCTTAGTATTCCATACAAAAGTACAATAGTCATAGTCACATATGTGTAAGTTATCAATAAAATACATATTAAATTAATATACTAAATAGACTTAATATATGTTACTCCACTGATTTAGCCCTGATTTAGACAGCTTGCACACATTAAATGATTGTCTTATTGTAATGTACTGCATCTTTGAGAACTTTAAAATATGTGTTAAATGAGACTTGTATGAACCCACTTTCGAAGGTAATAATAATAATAACCATCCAGATACCTTTTATTTATAAACATGGCACTTAATAGTACTTATTATTATTGTTACCTCTGGAAAAACAAAACAAAATCACGTATTGGTGGTGTGTGGTGATTCTCTTGCCTTGCCTACATCAATATTGCGGCACCACAGCCCTTGACTTGCCTTCTTGCCTTCCTGCCATGTGCACCACAGAATCACGGTCGCGTCCTCCCTTTCCGCATGCAGTAGCTGTGCTGCCACCTATTCCTGCAGCAGGTGAGTCATACCTTTCTCTGACCCTTCTTGGTCGAGAGAGACTCGTACACTTTCAGTACGTATAACATTGGTGGTGTGGACATTAGTAGAAGTTGTGTGTGTTGGCTAGAGGTGTTTAGAAGAATGTGGGGACCTTGTATTCTTCTTCTGATTCTGTCCTGTTCTTCCTGCTTTTCTCTTCTAGAATTTTAATTAGGATGCATTTTTGACAAGGCATTTTGTCTTCTTGTTCCTACATATATTGTTCTTCATTAATTGTAGAATATATTTGCAGACTATGTCTATTATGGAACTAATTCATCTGTTCTATAAGTTGCTTTTCTCTCTTTCTTTAACTGTATTTTGAAGTATATTTGCTTGATATTTATAGGAATTAATTCATATATTGCACATTTACAATATCCTTGCCTTAAAAATAATTTTTGAAGTATTTTACATCAAACTTGTCAAAGTCCAATAGTTCTCAATCTGAATTTCAGAAAGTATCCAGAGTCATAAAGCTTTTACACAGTTATAACTGATTACTATTTCTTATAGAATAAAACACCACATTTACAATTATTTTATTGTTTGCTAGTCAGGCTAAAAAAGTCAATTCCATTTATAACATTTGTTGTCTTACAGCAGGAATGGGTAGTGGACGACGACGCGGAGCTCCGGGGCATCCCCCTGACTACGCAGAAACTCAGATGAGGATGAAACAAATGGGCCGAGCCCTTTCCATGATGGTGTGCAATATTACCGGCAGACACACCTTGATGGTACGTTTTGACTCAAGTCATTTTATATATATATATATATATATATATAATATATATATATATATATATATATATATATTATATATATATATATATACATACATATATATACATACACACACACACATCTAGATGTTGATCATTGACTTGGTTCAGCTTCACTATAAATCATTAGTATATCGATATTATTAGTTGACTCAAAAAAAAATATATATATATATATTGACATAAATCATATAATAAATAGATTTTGTTTTATATAAAAATGTTCTATAAACTGCATTCTTTTCTAAGTACTTGTATCTGCATATTCATCCTTAGGCATTTTCAGATGAAGAGGAAGATGCCCAAGTCTCTGCAGTATGAAGGTTGACACAACCATCTGTGATGAGACGAACATGAGAGGTCCTGGACAGATTCTACCTCCTCTTCAGGAAGACATTTGGGACTTCCTATACAACAAGACCAAGCCATTGGAGTTTCCGGTTGTTATGTGTATACCCTTACCTAGAATGCATAGCAGTTAGTTGATGGGGTGTGCAGGACAACTGTTTGATTATCCTTTGCTTATCTTGTGATAATAAAAGTTAAGAGTTCAGAAGCCAAAGATAGATGGATTCCTATGGCCATGAGAGTAGGCATTAAAATCTTTGTATGTTTGTTCTACTCTTTGATGTATGACTTATAAAGACTGCTAGGCAACTGATGACTTGCTCATGAGTCCTGTAAGAAAACAGTATCCCTTTAATATATAGAATGAACAGATATTGTGTTTCCTTACCAGAAAATATGAACACAGTTTCTTTGAGGGAGGAGATATAATGCCTTTATGACATGTCAGCTCTCAGGCCTTAGGGTACTTTTGGGGCACAGCTTCATTAAGATTTTTATGGATGTAACACATTATAAATACATGTAGATCATGCCTATATTGGATGTCCTTGTATATAATTATATAGATAGATATATTCATGTCCATATGATAGCCAATAAGCATAATGTGTAGATGTATGTAATGCAGTCAACAATTGTGAGACTTACTCAGAGCTTCAGTATGAAAAAATTTTAACTTTGTAAATAGGAAATTTAAACATATGGAAGCTTCATGTAAGACTCAGGGATTGGTGGCTCAAAGAATATCATTGGTGGATGTACTGTTCCACCTCCTGTTGTCTGTCCCTCATTTTGATGAAGCCAGCCAGCCATATTGTCGTCCAAGTCCAACCTAGCCCAGGGAACCACTGATGATGTTAGCTAGCGTGTGCGACTGTGCCCACATGTAGTAGATGTGGGCTTATTATCTTGTTATCTCTTTATTTATTTGTAAATTGGCTAAACAACATTTTTGGAGATAGAGATCGATGAGGTCAGCAGTTTCAAAACTTCCCTGATGAAGGTCTGAGATGTAGATGAAACATATTTTCAGAGCTCGGTGATGTAATGATAAGTTTGTTTCTTTTTTCTTACAGAAAATTTGCATTGTCAAAGGATATTAAGATATTTATCCCCTCCTCATATTCATAATTCCCTTATGTAAGAAATATTTGTTCCTCATTTGAGGAATTATATGATTATTATTTGATTGTTATAAAATCCTGCATTTCATGAATGTTATCTGTAATAGCTATTAATATCCCAGTTTTCCACCCTTATGTCTAAAGAGACATCAGAATATTCAGTGTAATGTAATTTTGTTGTACTTTTTTGTAAACTGATAATGAGTCATGTCGTTTCTGTGTAAACTATATGCCTGAAATCTCATTGTCCAATATTGGATATTTTCACAAGTTATTTTCTCGACATGCAAATACGTAGATACTCTTGATATAACTTCCAAACCCCATGGCCCTTTCTGGAGGCCTGGCGGTGATATGTACAAATAAATACACTTCACTTTGTAAAGATGTGGCTTTCATTTTTACCTTATAATTGGTTTTACATGATGCATTAGCTATACTGGAAAATCTTTTTTTCATAAAGTATCCTGATATATAGAGGCATTCCAAATGTGATAATACAGCTGATATAAAACTTCTTATTAAATACATATTAACTTGTTGATGGCAAAAATTGTGAGAATTTAATTAGGAAGTCATAAAGAAATGTGTACATAAACCACTGTATGCCATTAGCAATTAAACCGATTTGAGAAAAATACTAAATTATAATTTGAGAAAAATGTATATATAGTTTTAGATCTAATGAAAACAAGCTCTTTTCTGGAAATTATTTCATCTGAATTCTTAACCCATTTACGATGGGTGTCCCACATATGAGATGCCTGGAAAAATAAACATTACTGGGTCACTCGTGGGTTAATCATCTGTATGCAACCTATTAATCACCAAGGTTCCTGTATATTGCTGAAATTACTATTTTGCTTTTACTTACAAAACTACATTCTGCAATAGTACATTTTACTACTAAAATACTACAGTGCAGTACTACAATATAATACATTATTACAGAACAGTGCTATAGCATAATACATTACAGAACAGTATTATAGTATAATGTAATATTACAGTACAGTGCAATAATGTAACAATACAGTAGTACAGACCAATCTAGCCAATATCTGTCAACCATCCTTTCAAAGACGAAAGCTAACAAATAAAAAAGTGATCACTGTAGTGAGAAAATAGATAACAAAAGATAAGCTGAACATTAACATCAAGTTCTTCACCTGGGCTACTTACAATATTTGTTGCATAAATACATACATCTTTTTTGTGACTATGATATAATGCTAAGGTTATTCTGATAACCACTGTAGATTACCTTCAGTAACAAAAGCATATTAAAAAATATCAAAGGATTATTCCAATATCTAAGACCTTTAAAGATAACAAGCTGAATTTAATTCCCTTGCAATATAAGAAGCATATAATGCAATAAGGTATTACTTTCTGTTCTAAAAGGAAGAAATATATTAGGGTTTCTATTCCATAAAAAAAAATTCTTAAAACTCTCCATGACATAGTTACAATATAAATTTTTGTTAATAAAAGTCAATACAAGAGAATATTAACAAAATTTTATTTATATCAACATACTTCTAAAAATATTTCCTATTTACATAAACATTGTTTCACAATATTTAGTTTTATCCTCAGATGTCTTTTTTAACTTAACACTTAAAATGCTGGAGAATACTTTTCAGCATTTGTAAGTTACCAGTTGAATATCACCAACCCATGGAGAAATTATCCTCAAAATTCATGTGCATCCTCAACTTTCCATTTTTCTTCCAAGATCAGATACTTCATAGTCAGGGTTCAGATCTTGATTTCTCTCTGCTGTCTTTGGAGGTTGTTCGTTTCTGCTTTTAAATTACCAATGTTTTCTGTCTTAGCTTCTTTGGCAGGTGCAATAAAAAATTTAATGTCTCCAGCCTTAACACGTCGCTGCAGAATGCGGCCTCCAAAACCCACTACATTTGCTTCAATGGTATTGTAAATAGTCTCCTATAGAATGGCAAGAAGAATTTAAAATAAATCAACAAGATAGACAAATATCAAACTTAATAAATAACAGAATTTTCAAAGTGATGCTTATGAAGAGAGAGAATTTAAGTCTGAAAATTCAAATATTCTATTAGAGCCAAATTAGATTTTCCTATAATCTAAATCTAGGAACTCGTAGTTTATGCACATCAAATATGAAACAAAGATCAATATCTATGATAC